GTTTAAGGGATAATTTCTATTTGGTTTTGTATTATTGATTATTCTTGTGGATAAATAAATTTCATTTTTATCTTTATTTTCAGCTAGTTGTTTAGGTGAAGGTGGTTATCTTAATAATGCTATTCTTTCTTCTTGTAGTTTATATAAATTTTCTATTGTTCTAGGTTGCAAAAGATATTCTTTCTCGATTTCAGTATCAATTCTTATTTTTCAATTATTCCGCAGGCCTTCAATATTTGTTTCAATATTTATTGATACAGCAAAATTATCATATAAGTTATTATTATATTTTTGTTTTTTTTAGTAGTTAAATTATTGATTTTTCTATTTCCAGTAAGTAATATTTGATTTAATTTTAAAATATCATCTGCAAGTTCTGAGTTATCATTAAGTTTATTTAAATCCTGATAACGATCAATTAATTCAAAAGTAATATCATATATTTCATCTTCAGTTTTACTTTGAATTGTATCTAATTTCCATCTTCTAAAAATATGTAGATCTTCTATTTTTTGATTATTTGTTAAGAATTCTTCACATATCCTACCAATTCTATTATCATAGTATCCTTTATCTTCTAGTTTACTTGAAATTTTTTCATTTTTTATATTATTTTTAAGTTCATCAAATACTTTATCTGTTAAGTTTTAAATTCTTTGTTTTTTAAATATATGAAGTTAATTTTTTTGTTGTTCTGTTAACAAAGAATTATTTGTTATTAAAACTTCAAGTGATTTTCTATTAAGTAAATTTAAAATAAATGCTTCATTTTCAAATTTCATTTATATTAGTCAAATTTTTTTGAGCCTTGAATTTCCTATTTTTGATTATTTCTAAGTTTATATAATTCAGCTTTTTGTTTATCATCAAGATATTTAGCTTCATCAATAGTATTTTTCTAAATAGTTTTTAATCATGTAGAATCTTTTTCTTTATCTATTCCATTTTTGATCGAATTATATTCTTGTTTTTGATTAATTTTAAAAATTTTATCAGTTATGCTTTTTAATAAAATTGAAATTTGCAATGTTATTAAAACTTTATTATCATTGATAGTATCGAATAAATTATTCAAAGTTGTAATTTTTTCTGTTTTATTTTTTAAATCAATATAATAACTATATTGTTCAATATATAATTTATTCAACCTTGATATTCTTATTTTTTGTAAATCACTAATTAAATTTGGTGATAATTTTGAATTGTTTATTCTTTGATCTAAATCTCCACTATCAATCAATTTTATAGCATTAGGTCTTTGAGTGTCTTTAATTTTTTTTTTAATTTATTAAATAAATTATTAATTATAGGTTGTTTTGTTTGAGAATCATCTATTTTTACATCTTTATCATCCTGTTCTGATGGGGTTTGATCTGGTTTATTTTCAGTTTGCTCTTGATTTTGGCCTTGATTTGTTTGTTGATTCGAATAATACTAAACTAATGCTTGTTTAATAGCCATAGCATAAATAATATTTATTTCATTAATATTATTTTGTTTTTATTAATTGATTTGAAATTATAATAATAACAACAATCTTTAAATTTATTATTATTATATTTGTATTTACAAGATATTTTGAATAAAATTAAAAATTAAAAATAAAAAAAAAGAAAATTCCTATATTCATATATTTTTTTAAAAAAAATTAAATTTCTGCATCTTCAACTTCTTCTATCAGTTGTCTACCACCATTTCCTCCTTATTGTATTTGTATTATTTGTTGTGCAATTATATTTGCTATTTCATATGTATTTTTAATATTAATATCATATCTATATGCGATTTCAATTACTCCATCGCTAAAATATACTGGTAAACCTGTTTGTCTAGCTTGAATTGAAAATTTTTGACCTAAAAAATACATATTATTATTTGTTAAATATTAAAGATCTTGTTGATTTGAATTTTGAGCATCTGGTGGTGGTATTTTGTTACGAAGTCTTCTCATTTTAAAAAATCCAAGTATATAATCAACCACTAAGATTTATACAAAATTTGCTGTGTCAAAAATGATACTGTCTGTATCATCTTCTTCTAAGAGCATACAAACTTTTTATTCATCTTTGCTAAATTGATAATACATATAAAAATTCTAGTCTTTTAGTAAACATCCTGTTTGATTACAATTAATTTCTCCATAATATTTAGCTAAGATTTGAAAATAATCTTTCAATTCTGGGTCATCTAATTTTTCTGTATTTCTTCAGGAGTTATATCATTCTGTGTTTTTCTTGCCAAATCTTTATCACAAATTCTAACCAGAAAAAAATGTAATCCCATTTTTTGAATTAAAGGAGTTAGTAAAGTTTTACCGCCAGCAACAGAAACTTTATAATGTTTAACCATTGAATCTGTAGCATCTAATTCTTCACTATCCTCATCTCTATCAGGTAGGTCTATAGTACATGATGCAATTTTAATTAAATTTCTGATTTGTTTTGTGTAAACTGATATTAAAACTAAATGAATCGCAATATCTGATAAGACTAATTTACTAAATCTAGGCTTGTTTTTTTCTTCTTGAAATAATCTTAATATATTTATATGTTTATATAATATATTATTATAATATAATTGATCATTTTTAAAAGTTGCCCCAAAGTTTATTCTATTAACTTTTGATTCATCAGGTCTTTTACTTCCACATACATTATAAGCTTTTTTATTATCAACAACACAAGAACTAATAGCACATGCCTTTTTTTGTACTACCTTCATTGTTATCTCCTTTTCTTTTTAACATTTTTGTTTACATTTAAATCACAATATATTTTTTCGACAAGAATTACAAAAACTAAAACTAACTTGTAATTTTTTTTTATTAGTTATTTTTTTGTTGGTTTTGTTGTTGTTTTTTTTGTTGTTTTAATTGTTGTTTTTAGTTTTGTTTTTTTAGTTTGTTTCTTTTTTGCCACCACCAGTTTTAATTGTCCAATAAGCGTACAAGCTCCAAAATTATAAGTTTGATATTTGTTGTCACAAATGCCAAAAGTTGTTTTAAGGTCAAAAGTATTTCAACTAATTCGTTAGATTTATAAAGAAGTATACAAAGCGAGATTATTATTAAAAAGCAGCAAATATTAAAATTTAAATAGATAATATACAAAAGAAAATTAGACATTTATTTTTTTTAAAAAATTTGAAACAAGTATTTATATATTTTTTTATTTAAAAAAAAAATAAAATTAAAAAATAAAATAAAATTAAAAAATAAAATAAATATAATAAAAAATAAAAATAAAAAAAATAAAAATAAAATAAGATAAAATAAAAAATGCAATTTCTATTTGTACACAGGGTGTATATACACGAGCAATATAGATATCTCAAAATTTTGATTATAAAACCACCTTTTGACTTCTAACAAAAAAAATTCCTTGCGAAATTTTGGCATAGGCTATATCTTGTCTGATCCCAAACCCACCTTTACTCTAACCATAAATGAAGGTTTAATTTTTTTTTATAAAAATTGTTTTGATTAGTATGTTGTGCAAATATGTATTTCAATAAATTATACATATGTATAAACACTATGTGTAAACTAATAAATTTTCAATAAAAAAATAAAAGAAAATTAAGCTGCTACATCTAATTCATTTACATTTTTAATAATTATATTATACATTTTTTGGTTGCTAGATTCTGCTAATTTTTTAAATTGTGCGATTATTTGTTTCAATAAATATGATAAAAATTTTTTTACTAAAGTAATAATTGTAAGAACATTTTTTTGAATTTCAAGATTAATTTTTTTTTTTTTTTTTCACTTTTTCTTAAATCTCTTTTATAATCATCACGTTCTTTAATAATTTTTTCTAATTCTTTTTTAATTTGATCATAATCGCTATAATTAGTAATACATATATTATATAAAGTTTTATACCTTTCTTTTTCATCCTTAGCTTTATCATATAGTTTTTTCTATATTTCTGCTTTTAGTTTATATCTTTCTTTATTTTTCTTCAAACCTTCTATTTCTATTTCTTTTGTTGCAAATATTTTTTATAATTTTTTAATTTTTTTTTTATCTTTATCATTTTCTATTTTTAAATTATTAAACATTGTTTTCTATTTTTCTTTTTCTTTCATTAATTTAACATTTTGTTCTTTTAATACTTTATTTTTTTCTTTTCAACATTAGTGATTTTTTTGCTTCTTGATACTTCTTTTTTTCAGTTATTAAATAAATATTAATAAAATTATAAAAATAATAATTAAATAATTAAATAATTACCTGTTAGTTTTTTTTTTAATTTTTATTTTTTTAAAAATTCTTGTTTTTGTTTTTTAAGTTTTTCTAATTAAATTTTATTATTTTTAATTTGTTTTTTAATTTTGTTTATTCTTTTACTGTTTTTGCATTATGAAGTTTTTGTCTTAAAGATATAATATTATTTAAACAAGCAGTACGTTAAACATAATAATAATTATATATAAACAATATTTTTAAAAATCTTTAAATATAATTTTATTAATAAAATTTTAAAAAAAAATATATACGTAAAATAAATATATACTTAAAAAAATAGTTTTTTTTTAAAAAAAAAACAAATACAAAATAAATATATTTAAATAAAAAACTAATTAATAAATTTTGCAATTATTTTTGCATGACCTCTTCTTTTTGAACTTCTAATGGTAGCAGTTTTTAGAACTTTTACATTTGCACTTTTAGCTTTATGCACTGCTTCGTATATATTTTCATAATATACTAAAATACTACCCTTATAATTATTTGTAGTTTGACTATTTTTATTAAGAATTAATCTGTATTCTCCAGTTTTAAAATCCCAGATATATAATTTTAGAAGTTTGACTGTGACAATAGAAACACTATTTGTGGCAAATATTCGATATGCCAGTAAAAATAAAATTAAAATAAAAGTATATTTCATTTTTAACAATCACCAATCTTAATACCACTAACGAGTATTTAAAAATTTTTATTTATAAAGAAAAATTTAATTTGTTTTATAATTTTAAAAATTGTTAAATTATTGTTCTTTTTATATTAAAAATAATATTAAAGAATTTGGTGTAACTTTTAAATACAGTCAACCCCCTCTATAGTCACCTCCTTTATAGTTACAAAATCAATATAGTCACACTTTTATTTTTACCAACTTTTTTAATATTATTTATACCTCTATATAGGCACAATCACCTTATAGTCACTATCACATTTTTTATTAACCAATTATATAATACCTATATAAAATTACCCTTTATAAAATCATATAAATAAAACAAATCAGATATATCATCTCAAATTAGTAGAGTATGAAAAGGTTCTCCAACCCCAATATAGTTTATCATAACCCATCCAGGTTATTTTTTTGTAAGAAGTCAAATATTAATTTTATATTATGTATAGTGTATTCAAATATGCTATTCGAGATACAAAATATAAATTTCAAAGTTTCATTTTCCTTTGGCTACGTTGAATCGATTAAAGCAATATAACCAGAGCAATAATGATAATCTTATACCTGCGCAGTATACAATAAGCAAATAATCATCCGGTTCAATTTCTAATAATTTGTTTAAATTTGCAAGTAACTCATTACATTTATTTATCAAACAGTCAGTAACACAACTACATTATCTGATTCAATTTCTAATGATCTATTTGATCCTCCAAGTGACTCTTCATATCTGCCCAGTACACGGTATAATTTTTTACAAATTCTTAATGCACCATCTAATTCAATTTCTATTGATTTATTTAAATCTGCAAGTGATTCTTCATATCTGTCTAATATGTAATAAGTATCTTTATATTTCTTATTCAGTTTGTTTAAATATGCGAGTAACACTTTATATTTGCCCGGTATATAGTAGGTATCTCTATGAATTTTCAATGCAAATGTACTATCAAGTTCAATTTCTAATGACTTATTTATGTCTGAAAATTATTCACTATATCTGTTCATCATACATAAGTAGCATTACGAACTCTTAATGCAAATGCATTGTTCAATTCAATTTCTAGTGATCTGTTGAACCTGCAAATGACTTTTCATATCTACCCAGCATACAATAAGTGTCTATACAAATTCTTAATACATCATCTAATTCAATTTCTATTAATTTGTTTGAATCTGCAAGTGATTAGTCAGGTTGAAATTTGAATTGGAGATGTGTAAAGTCAAAATAAAGATTTATATTGAACTAAATAAATGATTTATACAAGTATGCTAAGAAAAACAAATTTTTGCAAATTCTGAACACTTAAATTTATAATATACCAGATTAAATTATTCAGATTTTTTAAGGTTTTAGATTTAAAAGCTAAAGCCAAAGTCTAGTTTTCTCTGGGTATCGCACATACAGTATTATTTTACATGTTGCCAAAATATTTTGGCTTTGTTTAATTACAGCTTATATTGTAACTAGTTTTGAATAAGTTGAAATCATTTCTGACCTAAATAAGTATGCATAAACACCACATTAGTTTTTAATTAGAGTAGCTGCATAGTGTGCAAGACCAGTACTATCAATATGATCATGTATAATATGTAAATTCGGACTATTCAAAAGTTATTTATAAAGGATTTTAATATCTATTAAACAAATAAAACTTAGAAATATAACATAATTATGGTATAGTAAATGCTATATGTCTGAATATTATCTTTTAGGTAGTCTGGTGAAAAATTTTGATGTTAAAACATATTAATATATATCGGTTGAGAAATTTAAATATGCTATGATAACACTTACCAAATAGCTCTGGTCATTTGTCAAGCACAATTATCTTGAACTACCAAGTAATATAATTATTTTGTCCCCTTGCCAATCTATCAATATAATTTTTTTATGTATTTATTCTACTAGACACCTATCTATTTAGTTATTGTATATTCTATTTAATCTTAGACATCAAATATAGTGAGTGAAGTAGTGATTTCGTTTTAAATAAATATATGAAAGTTATGTTACGTAGATGCCAAAAGATATATTAATATTAGCTATATCCTGAGTAGTTGATTATAAACCAAATTTCATAGCAAAGTATAATCTGTGGCGTAAGCAGCAGTTTATACTTTTCTGCGAAATTCTATTTATATGCAACTACTCAGGATATAACTGTTATATGCTAGATTTTGTTATTCGGTTATAAAGTTTAATATTCAGCTCCTGGGCCCTTAAAAGCTGAAATAATAAATTTTTCACATAATAAATAATTTTATATAAATAATTCTTATTGTTGGCCATTTCGTATCCTAGAATCGATTCTCACCTTATATTGTACTACTACCAACAATCGTCACTGGAGTACTCGACTTCACTAGTCCTATTTACTCTTGTTGGTTTGTTCTATATGTTTAGTGTATTATTATGATCCTATCATCTGCGATGCTGTGAACCATAAACAGGGGAAACGTACCTGATTTAAACTGTGAGAGAAACATTAGTACAGTAGTTAAACCAGGTGTGGGATTAAGTTTGGATCAGGTAGATTTCCTTTTGTTAAACCATGGTACCTAACGATGAAACACATGACTAAGTTCTTTGTTAAGTGATTTTTACCAGAACTATTTTGTTATATAGGGTCACTAAAGGATCATTACATAATAATTGAGTATATAATTACCCAATTACATGCATTAGACTATTTTTATTTCATGAATTTCTTTCATGAAGATTTTAGAAAACCATACCACAGTACATATTCATTAATGGTGGTTACTATTTATCATTATAGATTATGCAATTCTTCAATATGTACCAGGTTTGTGG